AACGCTTTGTTCGCTATCCCCATGGACAGTAGGGTCAGCTAGGGCGCAGTACCAGAGTGTTTCTCACTTGGTCCTAAACCCATCAGGTCACTTGGTCGGAGGACAGTCCCTCTACCCATCAGGCATTTGTTTCATTTGGTGCAGCCTTGGGTGGGGCTGGCAGCGGGGAAATCTAAAAGATGTATTGGTGCATCAGAGAGACATCCCCTGTCCTTCAGTGCATCACCATCCATCTTTCCTTTCCCCCCACATGTCTTCTTTATCAAAGCCCGAACATATGGTGACTTTCAAAGCCTCGGGAGCAATTAGAGGAGCAAACCTCACAGCTCAAGTTCAGCTCATTTGTTGTCTCCTCTTTATCACCTTCCCCTCCTCAGTGGAGCTCTTGCTCTTCAAACCCAGAGTGATTCATGGGCTACGGTTTACAACAAAGTACCCGTCCATTTTACAACATCAAGAGGTGTCAACCTTCACCAGAATTAAATCCTGAGCGACGCAGAAGAGAACAAAAGACTTGAGTATGAAATGTTCACTTGCTGCGACTGTTTTGCACCAAAAATAGAACAAAAGATTTTGATGTGCATTTGTGTGGCTGTGTGGGAAGAGATGAAGGTGGTTTAGTGAAGAAAAAAAAGAGGACATTAAAAAAGACGATGCAGTGTGTTTGGACTTAAATATATAAGTAAAAACAATGAGAGAGAGAGACAGGTGACAGGTGACTTTGGGACAGTTTTAGCTCTATTAGGTTCTTGTTTCTTCTTGACAGGTGTTTCCTGCAGGAATATGACAAAGAGTGCAAAGAAAGTAAGACATTTTAGAAAAACAGACAGCATTGTTCTCAAGCTCACGTAATTAGAAGACAAACAAGTTCTGGATGATGCATTTTCCCAGTTCACTTATGATATGTACTCTTTTCACATCTTATTCAAACTTAAACAAAATAATTATTTAACACATTATTTAACAAATAAGTGCTGAGTTTGGTTTCCAAGGTCAAGAATGAATTTATAACTGCAGCTTTTAAGCCAGAAGAGAACGGCTATAAGTGCTCAGCGGTGACACACACCTTGGAAACAGCAGCAGCTTTATAGGATCTCAATAAAGCTGCTGCACAGGCACTGCTCATCTGCCTCTTCAGGAAATGTACCACTGTTTAAACTACTGACATGCAGCTTCTTTTGGTTGTAACTCATTTAGTTTACTCACCTAATTACAGTGTACTGACACACCCTGGAGTACTGCGTCACTGCAGCAACGGGAGAAGTTTAACCGGAGGCATGGAATATTCGCTTGCGTTTATTATTTCTACACCGCAGGAAAAGTACTTGGGTACTAAATTTACATTTGTGTGGTGGATACAAGGAAGATGAAGCCAAACAGCAGGTATTATTAATTACAAGTGTAAAACAACACAAACACTCAGCTTACCTGCTTCATCAGGGATACATGGGTGTAGTCTGATCAAATTTGATAGACGGTGGCCTGGGACCATGGCAAACAATCTCTAATCTGTTATCAGATTTTGAGTTAACATTTTGCTAAAATCTGGTGCATAGACGTCTGTGACATCACCTTTTTCTAACTAAGCCCCAACCACCTCAAACCAGCAAAAAGAGACAAAACAAAACAGACAGAAATCTGTCGTGTAAAATAACCAAATCTGCTCCAACTTTGGAACATTTTATGTTCATGTACGACCACATTGCTCTTAGTGACACATCGACTGAGGTTTTCAGGGCCTTTACTGAGTCACTTCTCTATTTTATTTGGATTAAAAAAAAGGCACAAACTTCAATGTATCTGTGGTCTAGATCCGAGTTATTAATCCATAGCTCTCTGCTCTGCACGTGTCCATCACATTGATGTCAGAAATGCTGCACCCAGCGTCGTTCTTTCTTCTCCACACTGACTGAAGAGTGTTGCTCTCGGGCCAGGTGAATAATAATGTTCTACAAGGGATATGGATCTGTCCCTCCAGTAATCAATAACATCAGTGGAGCAGAGCTTTTCTCTGCGGCCCCTGATGGGTCCTCATTGGACAAATGTCTCCAGTAATGAGAGAGAGAGAGAACAAGCTGAGAAAATAAGTCAATACAAATGATGAGCAGGAGAACCTAGACTAGCTCTCTCATATATTTTTCTGTCTGCCCCTTTAGCTGCTACTTGGGGCACCATTAGATCTGTTATTTACTCCAGTAAGACGACATTTTGTCAATAACTCCCTTAGGAAACGACTAAACTATGGCGGCCGATAATAAAAGACGAGAAGTAGCAAGTCTAGTTTCTTTGTTTGTATTTGTTGCACCCTTAAGCCCTCCCTACTTTGAAGCTGCAGCATAAAACTTAAAACATCTTTATGTTCACAAGCTTTCTGACCTGAATTCTGATGCTGCTACTATGATGTAGATACAGAGGCAGGAAAAAACAGCCAGCACAAGATCTATTCCAACTGTGAGGAAGGTTGTGGGATTAGTTCACTCATGTAACAAAATAAACCATTGGAAATTTGGTTTAATTTGCTAAGATTGAGATTATCAGCTGTCACCCCAATATGGAGGATCCATAAATTGTATATAATGCTCACACTCGAATGACGGAAGCGCTGGATAATCCACAACTCTCACTGCCAATAGTTTTAATTGGAACTATTGTCTTTGTATTTTCTGTTTGGCTGAATTTGACCCTGCTAACACTGTCAAGTGGACGATGATGAGGGAAGAAGGCGGACGTGTCTGGATGCTCTGCCAACTTGTCTGAGAGCCTGCTGTGGAGGAATGCATGTCCATATAATCAGTTCAAGCCATAATCTGATTTGATTAGTGTGTCCTGTTGGACGAGGAAAGGAGCGGCACCCTGCTGGCTGCAGCCTTTAGGCTACTGTCACACTCTGCGCAAAGTCTCCGAGAACTTGTAATGAGGCCAAGTCCTTTTCTCTGCTATCGTTCAAGGGCGAGTCTGAATTGAGACGCACGCACGCACGCACACACGCACACATGCACACACCTGGCAACCAGTAGGGCATCAAGATATGGTAAATATATTAAAACAGCTTCGTTGCCTCCAGCAGCACATTTACATACTGGTTAACACAAACTCAGTGTAACAAATATAGTATATAAATATCTGTTCAGCTGACACTCTCAAAGGTTTTTAGGAAACATGGTTATTTTTTTAGCCTGAATTTTCTTTTGTTCGGCAAGTATCCAGTTACTTGATGTGACTTTCAGTCACATTTCCTGTCTTTGGCATTATCCTGTCATGATATTTGAGACTTTTCCTCTTTTCACATATATTTGCAGTTCAGAATAGGTATTCAGAATTATATGTGGCTTCTATTACTCCTGTACATTTTAAGTAAACACTGTTTATTCACCGTTATTTGATACGTTGGGGGTCGATGTACTTATATTTAGAAAAACAAATATTGAAAGATTGTCTGTTGTTCTGGATTTCTCTAACTCAGAATTCCTCTTCCCTCTTTCTTTGTCGCTCTCCGTTGTTTTTCCTACTCTGTCTTGCTAATGAGTGGCTAATAGTTTCATCAGCTCCAATGAGTAATCCACTTAACAGACTGGCTCTGCTCGGTCCGCAACATACCACAGCTTCCCCTACAAGGAATGGAGCCATTTAAGAGTGACTGTTGACATGGCTGCATGCTGTGAGTGAATTAAAGACTGCGTGGTAGGCAAGAGAGAGTGTTTTCTACTTTGCCCAAGAGAGTGCGAGACAGATGCTGTTAGAAACCGACTTACATTTCTAATGAGCACAGGGGCATCAGTATCCATTGGTGAGTGAACAATGTTCCCCTGAAGACGGCGCTCAGTGGAGGTGCTTGAGTTGGGTGGAAGATAGAGCCGTCAAGCAAGAAATGGTGTCACACGCTAAGGAGTAAGGGACTGCTACGACCTGTGTGCAGGGAAATAAATATCGTTCGACACAGCCAGGCATGTAATGGAAAAACCAAGGCACCAAAACCCAAGGATGCACACACGCGCGCGCGCACACACACACACACACCGAGCTAAAATAAAGGCAGCTTCTTGCTCATTCTGGGTCATCAAATCAATAGTGTTTGACAGATTTATTTACACATAGAAAAATATTTAAAGGACTGCTTTTGCAGTGATTGATCCGAGCATAGTTTGAGTTTGCTATTCAAATACTGCTTAATTTACTGTAGTATTGAGAAGTAAAGCATTCTATGAACCAGTCCTAATATCACCTCTTCAAATAGCATTTTCAGCCCACTTTAATTAACATGGACGAAATGTAACTCAAGCTAAAAGGAGAGATCTATACTGAGTCAATTTAGTTTGTGCTGAATACATGAAAAATTCAACAAGTGTTTCAGAAATGACACAACAGAGCCGACCAGGTCATTTTCATAAAATGCTATTAAAATAAATCTGGTGTGGTAGTAATTTTTCATCCAATGTAGTAGATCTTTGTATACTTAGTTTACTGTAGTTAGCAGTGAACAAAATAATTGGAGTGCGGTCTACATACAATGTGTAGTTTTGTATTATTTGAGTTTAACAGATGCTTTTAAACATCTAGCTTTAGTTTCGTTCTGATTTACAATAATACCTGAACATGTGCTGCTTGAACCAGGCCCAACAGCCAAACAAAGACAATCCAGAAGTGGATTGTCACTAAAGGTCTTTATTAACTTGTTTACATGGGGGAAGGTTGGATACATTTAGTTATGTTTTAATTGCATGCTTTTCTGTAAAAACAGAATTGCCTCTGGGATGATAAAGGTCCTAATCTATACACTATCTTTTAAAGGTACAGTCTGTCCACACAAGTCTACTTGGGAGATGAATCAGCACAAATGACTTAATATAGTGGAACTAAATAGTTACACTAATCAAGCAATGTTGAGAGGTGTTGCTGTTCGTGATCAAGCACTAACCTTTCTCCTGCATGCTCAAAACACCATATGATCCTTTAAGTGGATGCAGTTCATGAATGAAGACGGGAACAGAAGGAAAAAGTAGTTACAGTTCTTACATCTTTAATGTAAACAGCAGTTTTTAAGGGGCTTTGAAAAATCCGAAAGAAAAGCATCCGAAGGTATTAAATAGGAAGGGGGCAATATATAAACCATACTCGAAATAACCATGATCTGTTTTTAAATTAAAAAAGGACATACACTTAATTTTGTGGCCATATAGTCTCTGAACAAACAAAAAAAGACAACTTCCCTTGACCAAAACATCCTCTTTGTAATACAAACTACAAGGCAGATTCACAATTTTAAAATCCCTAAATTATGAACATCTTACAAATGATAAACAAAAAAGCTCAAATATTGCTTAGGAATGTTGTGTACAGCAGTTATTACAATGAGAGAGACTCAAATGAGGGAAAGACGAGTGTGTTTGTATGTGTTTTTCACAATGGTGGTGCTCTCACGGGTGTTTTTGGCAAAGCCACTCTGTAGTTGTGTACAATATGCAATAAGCAGCGGTGGGATAGTAACTAACATTTGAGAAAGGGTTTTTACTAAAGTACAGTGCCTTTATTTTGCGGATTGACTTACTCTTACAGTCTTCAGTATATGTGTAGCAGGACAGAGCGGATATTAGAGACTATTTTCATGAAGTATTCTGCTTAAAATGTACTTCAACCTTCCTTTCAGCCTCTTGGAAAACATTTAGCTGCCACAAATACTGTAAGTGAGAATGTGACAGGAAATACTGCTGGAAAGGTGATAACAAAACACACCCCCCACTCCTCTCTGATCCTGAACTAAACCATCCCTCCAAAGAAGCCCTGAGGAAATAATAATAATAATAAGGTAAACATAAAAGAGGACGACAAGGAAGATCAATTTCTAAACATTTGTCTACCACAATCTTCAAGCATAAGGACTGCAGGTGCCTTCGGTCGAGAAGAAGAAGTGAATGTCTCAAAACATCAGACGCAGGAGGAGAGCGAGGAGAAAGACGGAGGACGACCAACGACAGGCAAAACAAATACTTCCCGGTTTGTCTTCTCCATGGCAACCTGATGACTCTGCATCAAACCCGAGTCCCCTCAAGTGCAGCGAGCCTATTAATATGCACCGTTTTCTCTCGTATAGAGGTCTAGCAAGAAGCAAGAGGAAAATTGTTCAATAAATCCTTTTTTTCGTCCAGTCACAGTTCATCTTTTTACATTATATGGTTTTATTTGTGTTGTTCCAGTTTATAAGAAAAGGGAATTGGTCCAGGGAGTACAGTAGGAGCTGGGAAGGTTTGTGTTCGTCTAGTTACAGTCGTAAACAAAGTCATAGTTGCTAGGTTCTTTGGGAATCGGGGGCGGGGCCTCGGGAATCTGGATGTTCTCTAGATCCAAGAGCCGGAGCTTCATCTCCATGGAGAGCAGGGTGTCCATGTCAGATTTGGTGTAATCGCTGGTCATCTCCTTACCCAGGAGGGCGTTCAGACCGTCTGTCCACACGCAGTACTGCAGAGACACAGACAGAGGTGGATCCAAAGTGAAATGAAATCAAAATGGTACTATTAGAAAGACTTCGTAGTCATAACTAACAAACTAAATACTTCCAAATCCACAGATAAAGCATGCTATGTCTCTAGAGGAGCTGCTTGACACTGTGCAGACTCCACCAGAGACACGCCGGCATACAAGAAGCAAACCACCAAGAGAGGAAGGTTTGTGTACACCGTGACTCAGGAGACACAGAGCAGGGACACATTCTTCTCTCTTGTCCTAAATACAAATATATATAAAAAGTTTCTGGCGTCAATTAACTTGAGAAGTTAGTTACATGACAATACAAGATTATGGTCAATATATGATTATAGTTTTGTTCAAGCTAAGTATCAAGTCAATTGAGATAATAGTCATGTTGTAAATCCAAGCGACATGCAAATAGGTTTGGGTGATATGATGACATATACACATACACACATATGTGTCTACTATCATTAGCTAAGCCTTGAATATCTGTGTTTTCAGCAATTATGGACAATGCAGCAAACATAATTGCACATTTTTCATGTCTCTGAATGCTTAAAACTGTATCAAGTGTTTGTCTTTACATTGCTGAGACAAATGTACATACATGGTCCGCTGTGTAAGTGTAAAATAAACCTCTTAAACACGGTAACGTGATAATATCCAGTACATATCTGACTTATACACTTGCTTATGCACTAGTATACAAAGAAATAAATACAAAGTCTGGGTGTTGTCACTGTTGGCTTACCTCATGCTTGTCAGGAGCAATAAAGTTTAAATACTCGTCGGACTCATAGAGGACGGAGAAGGCCAGCTCTAACACCTCCTGGAGAGAGGACGGAGTGAGAGGCAGAGAGGGAGGAGTGAGGAAGAGAAAATGGTGCAGACAGAGACAGAGGGGAGGAGGTGGGATGGAGAGACGAGAGAGAGAGAAAAATAAAGAACAGGTGAGATTTACACCACAATGCCAGCATACCAATGCAATCTCCCCGTCCTCAACACGTCTTATCACCATCTGTTACATCAGCAGCATATCAACTCATCAGGTATTAGCGAGGTAGAGCTTGGAGAGAGAAATACATGGGATGCCCTCAGATACAAGATATTGAAAAATGCCCGGGGAGGTTGGGAATATGATGTGATGTGATATGCTTTCTGGTGTATTCCCACTGTGGTCCACTGTAGGAAATGGAACAGGCACACCGAGAGCCAAATTTGTGTACATGAAAGCAATTCATTAACTGCTTGCTTGCAATCTGTGTGAAATTAGCATCTGATTTACTAAGGCAGCAGGTAACTACACAGTCAGAGACTGGGACTGCAGTCTAACTGCCCTTTGTGAGCGAGACCAGAAAAGCTCAGAAAAGTAAAGATGTATTGACGATGACATAGAAAAGAGTCTACAGTGATGCTACCAGCTCTGTGAGGCTGTATAGAGGCACAGTGGTACTGTGAGTTAAACGCTAACCTCAGCACGCTAACGTGATCACAGTGACGATGCATTCTGATGTTAAGCAGGTATAATGTTTACCATGATCACCGTTGTAGCATAGCATGTTGGCATGCTAACATTTGCTAATTAGCACTTAACACAAAGTACAGCTGATGGAAATGTCATCAGTTTTGCAGTATTGTAAAAAGAAAAATATCGGTCAAATGAACATCTCGACTTGACGGAGATCACCAAAACGATTCCAGTTCATCCCGAGGGGACCATGAACGCCCGTACAAACTTTCTTGACAATCCATGTATGTAGATGACAGTGAAACAGCTGAAGCCTCCATAGAGTCGCAGGACAACTGCAACCAAATACACTTTTGTCAATAAAATAAGTGTAATCCCCACAGACTGGTACACTGACAGCGTTATGACAGTTTATGGCCACAAAGCTCTTTATTTGGTGCAACATTGTGCTCATTTATTAATGCTCTTTTTTAGCTGTGTTTTTTTGTGCAGCCCCCCCTTTCTTGTAGTAGTTTCTCTGCCATTATTGAGTTTTCCATAAAATACGGCTTAATTAAATCTTCTATTTCCCACCTCAGCCATTGGTGCTTAAAAGCTGCACAATTCTGAACCTGCTTTTTAGAGGATCCATTGCAAATTTTAAGTAAATACAGCAGAACATACGATAATCCATACTTATCACGGATCCTCCAGTCATTTGGGTGATCCTCCCTTTAAATGCATGTACAGTACATACTGTAAAGCCGGAAGATGTGCATCAGCAGTGAGATGCGAAATACCGCACAGACGACAAGCAAATTGCACTTTCAGGTCGGTGCACCTGTTTGCTACATAACACGCATGTCTTGAGGCACATTAGGCGTCTGAAACAAAGTAAATATGGCTCTGAGTACATACTCATGGGGGTACATGTGTATGGAATAATTACAAAAACACTGCTGGCCACCTCACCCTCCCACCTCTGTCTCAGTGTCCCACAAAAGATCCACATTCAAGCTCTGCCTTGAAGCCCATAGAGGTGACTTTGGCTGGCCTTGTAACAGTGAGTAATGAAATGCGCTTGTGTTCTCATTCACAAGGCCGGGACAGGCCTGCTAGACGGCCCGCAGACCCCCCTCAGGTCATTCCCATAGACAAGGTGCGCTTATCGACAGGGTAATGAAGGAGACAAAGCAGGGAGGAGGCGTGCTGCTTTGTCTTCAAGGCTATTTACCCAAGATCCAATATATCAGAGTCCCGCGGGGGGTGGGGGGGGGGGGGGCGAAGGTTTGCAGAGGGAAAGTGCACAAGACGAAAGGCTGACGTGTACACAGCCGCAGACAAGATGGCTCTTTCATCCTGGTTAAGGCACTGCAGAGGGCCGGCCCGATGTGTTACTTTCAAATTAAACAGCAAAGAAAAGAAGGCGACATGTTTTTGGCGGCTCTTTTGTAATTTGTGTCTTCGGCTTAATGACTATTCTATAATTTGTTTCTTCACAACGCCACTAGTGGATCTGTCTTTCTGTACTGAGCAGTGAGACACAAGTTATTGTGTTATTTCCCAAAGCAAAATGATGTAACTGACATGTTATACAACTCTCACGCACACAGAAACACATAATCTCGCCTAGATACACACCCACATACACACGCATGTGACCACAAATACACACACAAACACACCTTGTTTTGCTTCAGGGCTCCCTTCTCCTTCATGTGAGGACAGTCTTTGCCGGTGATAACAGCTTTGATATCAGCCACAGGCACTGCAGAGAGGACAGAAGTGAGTTAACAACAACAACAACAACAACAACGTTACAACTGTGTCGCCCCAGATGGGCGGCTGGTTTATTCAAGTGATTAAAAGCGATAATTCTCCTCAGATCTGTCATTGCAGGTAAAACTGACGTTACCATTGACTTGTTAAAGCTACAAATGGTAACGATAATAGAAATAACTTTTCATCATATTTGTTCAAACTGTCACTATATTCTGACAGCAATACACGAGACAGATAATATGTGAAACTAGAATTAGTTCCGCCATCGTTAAAGTTTCAGTTTACATCCATGTCTGTTAGAAATGTCATCACTTCATCATTTTATCCTCTTTAGACATTCATGTGAACTTGAGTTATGGCCAGAAACATGTTTTTTGAGGTCACAGTTGACCTTTGACCACAGGTGGACGTTTGAACCACATTTTAAAAACAATCCTTCGAGTTGACATATCAAGTTCACAAGAATGGACCGCTCGGCCTGCCATCTGTCCCAAAACATAATGCCTCCGGCCACAGCTGTCATAAAAATGGTTATCTCTGCCTTCTTTTAGGGCTCCTTATGCCATTTACAATACAGCACACAAAGAAAAACAACCAATCAGAGACAAGGAATCTCTAATGCAGCCGTCAATCACTGCTTGTACAGCTTGTGAACTCCAATCACACTTTCAAAATGAACTCTCAGGTGTTTTCAGGAACACATTTCAGTGTACTCTTTAGCTGTAAAATGAGAAAGCTTGCTCTGGGTGATGCTTGGTTTTTGCGTAACTGTTGTCAACATGGCGGATGGGTCACAGTTACTGACTGTAGCTTTAAAGCCAGCAGTCAGTGTCAATGACACGTGGCCACACTGTATTTTGGGGCTATGTATAATATCAGCGAGGATACAGACTGCTGACTTGTAGAAAATATATATTTGAATGAATATTGTGAGCTGCAATAAAAATACATACCGTGTCACAATAGTGGGTATACATCTATCAATAATTTCAATTGACACTCACGTTTGTCCTGTAAAGAGTCGTGGGGCACTTCGCCCTGAGGGCTCTCTTCCAAATCTCCATAGTGCAGGACTTTATGGTTCGGAGAAAGACGGCAATACCAAAACTTATCTGGGGAACAAACACAAGTAGAAAGGAAGACAGAGGGGGAGGAAAGGGGGAGAAAAAGAGAGAGAGGAGGAGAGTTGTGAAATCAGTCAGCGGCTGGCATAAGACATCATATGGGATTGGATGAGTCATCAGCGGGAGTGAAAATTAGCATGGCAAAAACAAAAAAAAAAAAAAACAGCCGTGAGGAAAATCCACAGATGATGCTCTGCATGAGGGAGGGATCTCGATGGGCAACAATACAGATGGCTGGTCTCCATCATCTTAATACTGATTCAACAACAATCCACACACTGAAGTCAAAATAACAGAACAAAGACATCCAGGGTTTCTTGCTCTGATGAAACCGTAACTATGACAGGAAAATCAAAATCAAAGATGTAAAGCAGGAGGGCCCAACTGCCTACAGGAAGCACCAACAATGACAGAGCATTTAATGAAAAAAAAAAGTTTGTTGGTGTTACATGTTTTAATTTAAACAATAAAGGCTCTGTTTACAAGTTTAAGATGTACACTAAAATACAAAAAACAGAAACTGAGACCGTTTCAAAAGGTGAGGATGCAACTTCATTGTCATTTAGAGACTGTACTCGATGGTTTTGCATTTGTCACAAGTAAAATATTAGTAAAAATACAAGTGAAAAAGCACAAAAGTCCCCAAAATGGTGTGCTGCATGTAAAGGATAAGGTTTTGTTACAGGCTGGACAGAATTTGAGCAAGACATCAAATGCCCAAAAAATCCATAATTGATGATGATGAGTTAAGTGTGTTTTTCTCTCGGCTGATGTGATGCGTAATCCTCCAGCAGCCTGTAACAACCAGCTGTGCCTGTAAAGTGCAGCTTCGGCCTCTGCGGCCAGCCCGGTGTTCGTTAGTGGTTCCTTGCCAAAGCGGGCACCGAGCTGAGCTGGCAGTGAGTGGGCACAGAGCGGGGAGGTCTGACTGGCGTGTGCATGGGTGGCACAGTCCAAATCCTAATTGCTGAAAATAGACAGTTGGCTTTGCCAGGCTGGTGCAGTGTGTCCACGGGGAGCGGCCAAGAGATGTGTGCAGTGGCTGCGAGGAGTGTTTTGGGAGAAGACGCCATCAACTGTTCAGCCGAACTGATAGCGTGACTGATGTGTCAAGCACATACGTTCTTCCTTTGACTTCAAGGCACTGTACTTCTATCTTGGACTGAACTACATTCTGTTATAATTTAAACTATATTTGTCTGATTCAGCTGCTAGAATATGGGTGAACAACATGGTGAGATTCAACAGAATCAGGACACATATCTAATTTTTATGATTATTCTTGCTTTAGTGCAGCATTTATACAAGGTACACTCTCCTGAGCCCCACGTTACCCGTCAGTAAGCTGCACTTAAAAGACTGCTCAGGTAACACTTCTTCTTCCAAACTTCAGAAGACCGTCAACCTGAGCTTTTAGGAAGAAGCATCCCCCTATAATGGGCAGAACAGCACTTTGGAAGGTAGATTGAAGAGTCATCTGCTCTGAAGTCAACCAAATTAATATTTGATAAGGGTACTTGAGTCCCTGCAGGCTGGAGGACTTTGAGATATTCATACAAGATGCTGAGGGAGAAATGGGAGAAGGAAGGCAGCACATTTTATATATGTAAGAAGATAGGACAAGTTGATTGAAAATGACACGAATAAACCAAGTTTCATTTTATGTAAACCCTCTGTGAAAATTAAACTGGCTGGAGGGCTCCTTTTATTCTTGTTCAGCTCTCCTAAAGTCTGCAAGACAAAGTGCTCTTCACATTGTCAATGCGTAGATATACTGCGTATAAGTACCGGCATGAGAACAAAGGCTCAGAGAGGAGAGGGAGGAAAGGAAAGATGAGTATGGGTGGAGGAAAGTGAGATGAGAGAGAGGGGAGCGTATGAATGAAGGAGCACATGCACAAGGAGAAAAATAGAAGCAAACCAAATACAAAAAAAAAAGGAGAGTTTTGGGGAGAAACAGCATGTCCTTGACACCATCAAGAGTCCTCAGAGGCAAAGACAGCTACAGCTAGCACGGAGCAGGCAGACTACTCCCCTGCAGTCAGCACATTAAAGCCAGTGTAGCCCTACTGGCTAGTTTGCTGAATGAAATCCAGTGAGGCTCCTGAACCTCTTTTGTACGGCTGTGGTTGCGGTTGTTTTTTAATTTTTTTATTTCTGTGTTTAGTGTGTGTGCTGATGCGTTCATGTGCGCATGTGTCCTCCATTCCTTTGAAAGGATCTCCAAAGCAACAGCCGTGACACGGTAGTACGAGACTATTCCAGCATGTCGCCGAGTTAAAAACCAGACAAGCATAAATCAGACGACCACACGCAGTGAAGACGATCAGATACTCGATCTGGGTGATGCTTTCCACCTGAACATCTGTCCTGCAACGTCTTTTAGAATCCTGTTTTTCCCCACTCCATTCCTTTTTCAGGTTGTTGCTTTTTTGTTTGTTTCTGTAATTCAGCTTTGACAACATCTGGATGACAGCTGCCAAGAAAAATCGTGACCAGGCTTTCAAATGCCAAAATGCATTGGTGTCATTAGGAAAAACTCTATGTGGCTGTGCTCAATTTGATTCGACTCATAGGAAGTACAGTTCCTGCGGGGAAGCTGAAGACAACAAAGCAATAACAACAAACCAACTTCCAACCCGAGTCTGTCAGTTTTCTTTCTTTATGAATAAGTAGACAGAGAGGGGTGAAGGAAAGTGCAACAGGGAGGAAAGAAGAGTGAAGAGTTCAGGTTTAAAGCGGATTAAATGGATTGCCTGACGCTCATGGATCAGGTTAGATTGCTTGATATCTGTGCGTAGATTGGAACACACATTTGTGAATAACCCAAATTACGCACAACTTGTTCTTTTTCATTTCACATTTGTGACCATTTTGAGATCAGTTTCACTCCATATAAATGCTGCTCCTCTCTCTTTCCTCCCTCCTTTCTTTCTAGTGGCAGTGAGTGTGAAACACAATATGCCAAATGAATCAAATACTGTCCTATCTGAGCTGGCTGCTGGGTTTTCCCCTTCTATCCTTCTTCCCTTCTCCTCCATTGTTTCACTGGGGAGGAATATTATCAATACTTACACTATATCAAGTCAAAAGAGAATATCTATAAATGCACATTGCATTTATGGACATGTGCTTCCTACATTTCATAACAAGCATGTGAACATCTCAAGATATCCTCTGAAAGTTGCCGTCTTCGACATCCACAAATAGTCTAACTTGTGTTATGTTTCACACCGCTTTAACATTTTCACTACACCCTCCATCCTGTACTGTGGAGCCCCGGGTTACCGCAGTCGGCTCTTTCATCACTCCATTTCTTTTCTAAAGCTTTCTCTAGACTTCATCCTGACAAGTGTATATAAATGTGTGTTCACCCTGCTTTCGGCTTTGTGTATCCTTGTAGTTCTTTGCATGCAGGGGGGGGGGGGCAAAAGGAGGGGAAGATGGCGTGTTTGTGCATCTCAAGACATAAAAACATGTGTACTGCATTTTCTGTATGTGTTCCAGTAAAAGAGGCAGCGTGTCGCATGTGTATCTGCCTCAAAGGCTGACAGAGCCAGAAAAATGAGTGTGGACTTTCATGACAACAGATCCACAGCAGCCCAGAGCTTCAAAGATCTCCTGTGGGTCTTTTGTAAAGCAGAGGGAATAAGTCAATGAGTGCAGAGAGGAGGGATGAAGAACAAACAGACAGCAGTAAGAGGATGGATTACCTTTGTGAACACAGCACGGGGAGATGTGAATTTCCATGCCTGTGTGGTTGCAATCTGTGGATGTATGCGTGTCTTTTATACATGTGCGCATGCATGCGAGTGCTGCGTGTCTCACCTTGCCTCCTGCGACTACTGATTTTCCTGAAGCAGGTTCCATCACACAACCTGTTGAGCCTCTGCTGTTTGATCAACTCCATGATCTCGGGCTGGATCTTCTCTCTCAGCTCCCTTTAGAGAAACAGAAAATGAACACACTATTGGTTTTAAGAGAAATATCTAAATTCCAATCAGCCACATCGGTCCAGATGTGGAAAAGCAGGGCGACAGGTGAGGAACAAGATGCTCTGAGATCTGGAAGTGAATTGTTTTACATTTCCCAGGTTTTCTGGCAAAATGCATAATTCATTTTAATCCCCTGGTTTTACTTACGGCCGTCAGGAGGGAACAGAGAATGCCAGATACAAAAATAAACTTCCACACATGCGTGCACATGTTCACGCAATCAGAAATATGTCATGTAGCGTCCCAAAAGGCTGATCAGTGGGACGCTGTGCTGCCTTAGCGCTTGCTGTCATTATTTCATGCGTGTCTGTGTTGCATATGAATGTGGAGCACACAGCACTAGTCAACATAAATTATTTATATTATCTGCCCGAGCAGCGCTGCTGCTGCCCATCTTTATTTCTCATCATTATACTCGAGTCTTTTCTCTTACAATTTACCTTTTTATTCTTTTCCTTTCTTTAGAAACAGGACGAGCTTGACAGGATTTCAGCCTCTCTAGCCACATAAAAGCTTCGCATTTCTATCATTTCCTCGTATTTTCCCTTGCCGGTGTTCTTGATCACATTTTTGTCCTTTTTTCCTCTCCCTCGTCTTCTTCAGGCTCATCCGCACTAATCTCCCTTCATCTGTCTCACTCTGGCAGTCTCTGTGTGTTTGCCTCATCAGCGACTCCGGTCATTACATTGATCTGTGGTCGGCCCTTCACTCTGGCGTCCTTAAAGAAGCAGCTGGTGGGAGAGGTGTGGCTCATTGCATGTAGGATGGATGATGATGGTTCGGCTTTACTGCCTCTCACGCTATTCTTCTGACTGTGCCAGACACAGGAAATGGATCTGAGACTGTCTGATGCTTTGGCTGCATTGCCCTTTTAGGAAGCTGCTCCAGGTTCAATTTAAACTTCTTTCCAGCAAATGTGGAAAATCACAGACATTTTAATAAAAGTGCTGAGGCGTACTGGTAGACCTCTATAAAAGGAAGCACTCTGGTTGGTATCAGGTAAATTATTAAAGAAGTGAGGCAAAAGAACAATTTACAGCTTTGTGGAAATGTACAGTACATACACCAGCATATCAGTAAAACATGTATGCACAGGTGGAGCAGGGAATCAATAATAAATTACATTACAGACACTTTTCATCCTAATTTTCTGGGGACTGCATTACAATTAAGTTGTGTATTACATCTCAGAAGTGCATCCTCAGCAGTTCTGAGTTGACCTGCTGCATGAATTTATGTGGCGTCGATTTTATTTTTAGTGCAACTTTCAGTAAATACAAAACTTTCCACTTACAAAGAACCACATTACACTAATTAAAGCAGAAATACCTCAAAGAGTCGACATGAAATATAAGAGAAAAAGACGGTCGACAGGAGACACAGCTTTGATCCGACGCCATAATAGCTCCTCATCACCTTCTTTTGATGTCTAAAGTCATTCTCTACATTAATTGATAGCAGAACGCACTGAAAGCAGGCAATACAGCAACACAGAGCCCCTTTAACTCTGCAGTCTGACATGCTCTGCTCATTAGGTTTGCAAGTCATGACTGCGCCGTATTGATTAGAGGAAAATTCCAACCTCGGGTAGTCTCACGCTGTTGAAGGAGAGACTCATCAGTCTGCGATGCTTTCCAACAGTCATTCTGTGATAAAATGTTACAAAATGTGCTTTTTCATTTCGCCGTTTACTTCAGCCTGAGATTGGGTGGAAATTTGTTGCATTCTGATGTACTCTTGTTTTTCCTATTAAATACAGGAAATTCAGTGTATTATACATATGAAACCGTGTTTGTTACATAATTGTAAATGGTAATAAGATAATTACATCGCTTTAGGCGACATTTCTCGCAACTCCCTTTGCTTTTGTTCTTTCTCCAATAGGATTAATTGGCTGTTAAAAGGTTGGTCTCTACCCTTCCAATATCGATTCAATAAGCCGTTGGCTCAACATTGATTAGTGTTCAGAGGGCCGAGCTCTCTCTGTGAAACAATTTTCCAATAGTGCTAGCTACTCCATTAAATACAGGCAGGACAAAACATTGTTCTCCATTAGAGGCCCTGTAACCATGATCAGTCAATGAATGATCCATTACAGACTGGCTCTCCATGCTGTGTGAGCTGGAGGGTCGTTAATGGAGTATTCACTAGGAAGACTATTTGCAGACAAATTGAATTTACTGCATATTTCAATCATGAGGAGAGCGCAGGAGCAACCTGCTTTATGTCAGTAGCTGGCACGTGGTTGACAGAAAAAATAGCTCTTTTTTGTAGATGCAAATGATGTCCTTATTTTAGTCTTAAGACCTGTTTAGGTAGTTGAAGACAGGGGAATATCTCTGAGCAGTTCCTCCAACTCTACAGAAAATGTCTTACTTTTCCTGGTATTCAGAATGGATTTACTCAACAAAGCTGTCAATTTGTTGCCACCTCGACTTCCCAATAAGCTTTTTTTGGGACCAATACAACCCTTTGACAAATGTGTCTCCATCATATTGGTCAGTGATTGCTTGACTCACAGGATGGGGCGGGACTGGAAGTCTTCCTGATTCATCCTTTCGGACTGGCGTATCTTCAGGATCTCTGTGTAGCTCAGGTTCTGCAGGCGACTCTTGAACTGGTCCAGGGAATTAGGCTTGAGAGTCAGCGCTCGCATGATCTGCTCCCTCACCACCTGCATTACCTGCAGAGAGGAGAAAAGGGGCAGAGGAGGGCGTGGTGAGATCATCATGGATGCAGGATCCACACAGGGTGTAGAAAGAGTGTGTGTATTGGCCAAAAAACAGAGTCAGCACAGGCAGGAAGTTAAAACTAACCCCATCCCTATTACAGGGGGCAGGGGAGCATATAAACTCCTGTTTAGTTCCCGACAGGATTATTATCATTTCTTTCAGAACTGGAGCCTGTAATCCAGTCTGGTGCACTCAGCTTTAAGAGGGAAAGAGCAAAGAATAATAATTCAACAGTGGCAAGTCAGTTGTTAGCCTCGGTACCATGCATCAGTGAAATGCACGACAGAACTTGCCTTTAATTCCGTAGCTATCTAATACCATTAGTCTGGCTGTGGCTGCAGAAGCATGACATGGTGTTCCAAGTCATTAATCCCACTTGAGGGGTCTTTGTGATCAACCGAGGCAACTATACAACAGGAAAACACTTCTATGTCTAGATCAATTTGCCTGCAGTGTATGAGTATCAAGAGATAATTAAAGTCTACACACAGAACTCTGTGTGAGAAAATCAAATCATCAGCAGTGAACAAACAATATCAGTCCTCTCAACTGTCAGACCACAAACAAGCTGAGGAGGATATCTTCTGTTTACGGAGAGAAAAAAGGAATAAAAGTAGAAAACAGTGGTTAGCCGGTGAACATTGTGGATGTATATTATCCTCTCAATAAATCTGATGTGAGAAACCTATCAACAGCTATCAAGAAGTAATATGCATTAAGGTAAATGGTAAAATGGTTCATAAATTGTGACTTTTTATGATCCTGGCAGACTTGCTTTCATATTGTAGCTCCTGCCATTGAGCCCTGAACACTGGATGTGACCAAACAAAACCAAGGGTCTGAACTAAACAGTACTTCAATGCATTAAGATGTGAAATGGAATTAAACCCACAGATTTGTACACGGTTAATAAAGCACTAATTCTTATCAAAGCATAACATCTCCTCATCCTTCTGCGCGCGCACATACACACACACACACACACACAAGCCTCCGGAAACGAGTGCTAAACTGCCTCCATTCAGCTTTGCAATCTTACAATTTCATTTGCTTTGCATTAGAATTTGATCACTAATATAATTCAAAGATGGAAATAGACTTCGTCTTCCCTTCTGTTGGCTTCGCTTTTACTCTACGGTCTCTCTTTTCTCTGCGTGCCTGGTTAATGAAATGCTTGAGGACACACGCACAAAAAGGACGAGCTTTGTCTCTTTGTATGTACTCAGAGGTAGATGTTTTTGGACTTTCCTTATAACTGGTGTGTTCTCCTTTTCTGTACTCTTCTGTTTCATCTGGGCTCCTCAACCTCAACTATGCCAAAACCCAGTGAGCCAAGAAGCCAAACACAGTCTTATGTAATGTTGTTCTTGCTGTTTAGGTTTACTGCAAGGCGATTACTCATCAACTTGCTAACCTCTGAACTCTCACTAGTCGGACTAAGCCAGGGGTGAAAGCATTCAAAATAGAGGAAGTGAGCTGCCAAAAATGAAATATGAACAGCATAAACCCAACAAAGGCGATGGAGGATAATCCTCTTGAATCAGCATTGCATTCGCTGTGTAAAAAATGCATTAGGAAATAGTCTGGGCTCAAAGTCCCTCTTTGAGATACTGCTGCTGTACACTGACAGTGCCACAAAAAGGAATCAACCCATTTATAACTCGTTATCTGATAAACGCTGAAGTTAACACTCACAGAAAATACTGGGAAAAATGTTATTTTCTCTCCGATTACACAATTTAATCCAGGGATTATCTTTTGGAATGCAAATATGTTCAGAGGCGTAATCACAGTGTATTTTCTAACAAATACGGCAACACAAAACAGGACGGTTGGGTCAAATGGAGAGGTATTTAGAGAGACAAGCATGTGGTTTTTTGGCACCGGCGGAGCTCTGAAATTAGCTTTCGTACATCTTAGTGACCGGATATGACAAACTATTAGAATCAAGAATCGCTTGCAGAGTCTAGATTCTGACCCTTTGTAGTCTGATTAACCTGCAAAGCTCAGACCCACATCTGTGCACATGGAGGTCCTGCTCCGTGTGATCCAAAAACTGACTGGCATTAAAGTTGATGCAGCGCATCAGTGACTCAGCACAAGTGCATCCTTCAAATCCCCTTTGAAAGAGGCAGACAGAAGATCGGGATCTTTTCTGTTTAAAAAGAAGCGCTGCTCTAGGCCCTGTGTGCAGAATATTAACCTCATAAAATCATTTTGGAAACTATGGCGTAATGGCCAGAGAAGACTGACCAGCCACTAGAGGGCGAGGGTCGACACCTTCCCTCCCCGTTAGCGAGGAGTTGTTCTAGATGACTACGTGCAGAGACTGCGAGCTGAGATCTAGGCTTGTGGTAGCAAGTTACACAAAGGAGGACTTTTATTTTTCATTCATTCGTGTCTGTCCCATCGGTTTATCCATCCATTACGACAGCCATCCATTCCTCCCTCAGCTAAAACAGCTTGATACATATTTAACTCTGGTGGTTTTGTCTCCACAGAGGGCTGCTTCCTGTATTTTCCCTGTATTGTGTATGCCACATTGTCATGGGGAGAAACAGGTGTCCAGCTAACAGCAGATTTACCTCCTCCTCCTCCTCGTGAAAAATGAGCAGACAAATTGATGGAGCCACAGTTTGTAATCATGCTACGAGAGATTCATCACTCCTATCCACTGCTTTCAATCACAACTTCACAGAGTAGCCTATCATGGATTTTCACACACACTCACGTAATCCTGATAATTAAGCCTCAAACTAATTTATTTCCCAATTAAAATTACTAATGGTCTGTCAGTGTGTCTAGAAAGAAAATGTTTCCTCAAGAAACATTTCCTTTATTTAAAAATAAAGGAAATTGTATAACAAAGAATGAGCTTCGATATCCATTTGCAGTACCCCAAAACACAACAATTGTCCACTGAAATCATGAAATCAGCTGGAGACTTCTACTTTTTTTGTTTGTATTTTAGGAGCATTTTAACGCAGATCTCGTAGTCACCTGCAGCTCGCTTTCCAACCTCCTCCTCCTGCTGCTGCTTTCTGGAGACCGACTGCCATCCAGCCCCGGTGCTTCAGCAGCGCCGTCCCAGGGGAATGTTCATTAATATGCCTTGTTTGCAGTCATGTCTCCGGAAGGAAAACAATTCTGTCGGCCCATGTGGCTGCACTCATGCTAATTAACACCCCGAATATTCATCACATTTAATAAGAACACATGGTCCGTTCACAACAGGGCAGTGGGGCATTATGAATATTTTATGTGCATCATTCTTTTCCATCGGCTGATTGCTCAGAGAGCACCTTGGGTAGAGGTGAGATGACATCAGCGCAGGAACAAACTTTGCCGGGTGAGCTCACACCCCTTAAGGCTCAGTTTTGTACTGCGGTCATCTCGGCTGCACTTCAGATGGTCTGAGTGCAGAACTGTTTATTGTCATAGCTGCTGATCCAAGATTCATCTCTTCTACTGTATCTTGTCCACCTTAATTTCTGTCTGTCACTACATTCCCTCTCACGCTGCCTAATCTCTTCCAGACAACAGGCCATCATTCTGTCTTGTAGCTCTTTGGAGAGAGAGTTAGACAGCAGAGCAAGTGTCAGGAAAAGTAATTAAACGCTGTCCCATGAGCCGTCTAGTACACGTAATGAAGAGCTGGCCACACAGACTCGCCTGCCACACTCCTCCACCCTCACTCTCCTCCTCTCTGTCTCTCCTCAAACAGGACAGTTGGGCAGTTCCTTCTTCCTGGAGTAGCCCCACCATCCATCATCGACAGCGCAACAAATTACCTCCCTCCCTCTCCGACCAATCGACTGTCGCCGGCCCGCCACTGCTCCATTTACCTAAAAGAGATGCTAATGACATCATTTACCAGCTGTCAGTCAAATGCTCACCCGCCCCCTCAAGCCCGGGTCGGGAAATCTGGAGATTGTGCTGGAGAGGCACTTTGGTGGGCAAATAAGGTGGTAATCACAGAATAACGACTTTGCTGATACTCCCTGAAAGCAATCAGAAAGTCGATATCACGTGGTGATAATTTGAGCATCGGTGAGGTGCGTTACAGCATTTAAAAGGTGCAACGTGGGAGATCTGGCCAGAATGTTTTCTATTAACTAACGTTATCAAAATAGACTGAAGAAGTAAGAAGTTTTGATGTTAACATGTCAATTTATTGTGCTGCAGAGATATTTATTGTCAACCAGCAAGGTCCGGCCCGAAATTTCGTTTAGTTCAATAATTTAGTTCAAATAAAGGAAGTATCAAAACGCAGACGGACGGTAAAGTCCCCGGTTAGTGGCGCAAATAACATAAGATAGCAGTGTTATTTTGATCAGCTCTCAGAGTTTCTGCATTCTTTTTTTTTTAATTTTGCGTATTCCTGCCCTGGTGTTAGTTCGAAGTTGGCTTTTTTTTTTCTTTTTTTTTTTTATAAGTGCTTATTAAATTAGATTGTTTGGACCCAGTATAGTAAAGGTGAAATACTGACCCCTATTTCTTTGGAGCACACGTGGCTAGGCATTACACATTGCACCTTTAAAGCCTTGACAAAACATGCACGCTTGCCGACATACAAAAGGAAGCATTATCCCACATGCACATTTCTATCCAGAGTGCCTGTATTTTTTAATAATAAGTAGAAAAAGAGAATACAGGGAATCCATTTCCATGTTATTGAAATGGTAATTCCATTTTCCCTTCCTGCCAGCATGTTCCATGTTCAATTAATAATTACCTCCTTCAAAGTTGACCACGATGTCATTAAAAATAAAACAATGCCACATTGATGGACATGAAAGGATGCCTGTCTCCTATAATGCTGCACAGAAAGAGGAGTGCTGTTATGCGTTGTATTAAATTTAGAAAGAAAGATGAAAAAAAAAAGTGTTTTGGAAGCTGACAGGACTGAAAATATGACGGAGCTGTGGTGGAAGATTTATGTCTTTAATAT